GGGGGGGGGGGGGGCCTGCAGAGCCTGAGGGGACCCGAGGGGTGCGACGTGCGCCCATCCATGTCATGCCTCTGGTAGGCTGGCTACGGCTGGGACTGTCTACCCTGGGGGGTTCACAGGCAGGGCCTTGGGCCCTCCCGCGCATCCTCCTGCGCGAACTCACGCACCGGCAGGCAAGCGTGCCTGTTTGCGCAGCCCGGTTGCATGGCTCCATGGGGGGCTGGGCCAAGTAGGGGCCTGGGTGGGCCTTGACCCGGCCCGGCTCCACGCAGCCACCTCCTCCCACGCCTCTCACCATGCACTGTGACAAATCGGCCCTGAATGCTTTGAGGGGTTGGGGGGAAGCGGAGCTAGATGGACACAATGGATCACGAGGGAGAAAGCTGAAGAACGGCCGATCACAGTGGTGGGGATGCCCTGTCCTGCCCAGCGTATCTAAACCTGTAGATAAAAGAAAACCCTCTTTTAGAAAAAAACTCTCTCATGTGGGCAAGTCCTTCAGCAAGAGGTATAAAATACAGCATCTCCTCAGCTCTTTTGATCCATGCAGATTAGAGTGATGCAACCAGGCCTCTCTAGCTTTTGCTCAGATGAATAAAATAACCTCACAATTTGCTAGCTATCGTCTCTGACCTAGCGTTGGAGTTTGGCTGAATTTCTGCACAGAATTATTAGTCAGCCCTCACGAACCCTATTAATGCACGCGTGTGCTGGCGGTTACGCCCATTTAACCAGCTTGTGTTTTAACACAGACACTCTACTTTCAACACAGAACTTGAGACATTAAAACAACAACAAAAGAAAGATCACATGCTGCTCTCCATCTCCCTTGGACTCAAAGCAAATGACTTAACATTTCCTGCTCAGAACCATATTTGTCCTTTGCAAAAGAGGAACTTGCCAAGGCGATGGGGAGTGTTTCCAACCCTTATCTACAGCAGGTATTTTAATTAACTGGACCCCCGAGTCAAGCAAGACCACACAATGGTGAAAATGTCAGAGACCTGCCCACACAACACTTTCCCAATGGCTGGGGACTACAGGTCTGAGTTTTGCCAGGGGTGAAGCAGCCTCAGGGCACTGCCGTGCTGCATACATCTGTACTGGAACAAGCCTCCAGTCCACTGCCAGCCTCCCCCCTCCCTGCCCCTTTCAGCTTTGCAGGCTGAACACTCCCGGGATTTCTCCAAGCGCAGCAGCAAGGTGGCAGGCCTGCTCTCGCTTCTTCATTGGTATTCCTGGCATGAAGCAAGCTTGACAGCACGTTACTAGGAGTGTAAAAATACACACTGTGCTACTTTAATAGTAGCAGCTCAAAGCCCATTGGCATCCTCACTCGAATACTACACAAGAGACCAGCCAGCGTAGGCAAGCTTCTTCCTAGGATGGCCTGGTATGCGCCAGGCGGAAACAGGGAGGAGGAAGCACGGTTTTAAAAGCAAGATGGGAGGGTGATGCTGGGTCCTTAACTGCTGAAGCCAAACCTGGGTAAAACACACCCCGCTCTCCTTGAGGCAGGGGTACCAAACCTGCAGCATGAGTGCCACAGGTGGCAGAGGCGGCTTGTGTGTGTGGCAGGTGGAAGACTGGGGAGGGGGCAGTCAGCACATGGCAGACAGGGCGTGGAACAGAAAGCAGAGCATCAGATCAGGCAGGGAGTACAGGGTAGGATGCAGAGCAGGGAGGTGAAAGCTGAGCAGCAGACTGGGTAAGGGAAAGGGATCGACTCGGGGAGGGTGACGAGTGAATTTGTGGCACAGGTGCCAAAAAGCTTGGCCCCCACTGCCTTAAACCATTACGTCCAGTTCTTTACGATGATGCTTTTTACTGCAGTCTGAATTCTCCTTCTCCATGACGCTCTTCCCATCCCTCCCCCCCAGCTCATAACAGTTCCTCCTCCCCAAACTTCAGCATTTGCAATGTGAAGTCAGAGCACGGGGAAAGAAACCGATCCTGACACCTTGAAGCAAACTGAAAGAAGACTTTTTCTTTCAAGCACACACTACACAGCAGCCTCT